CCACACTTATGAAGCAAATCAGTATTGGTGTGTTCTTGATTACTTTAAAATTGTGTCAAGATTTCTATTTAGTTTTTAAACCCACAGAATTTGCATGATCACCAACTGTTGGTTTGTCCTCCTGGGACACTTATGTGTTGCTGTGATGCTGGAAGCCATGCCACGGGTGTTCAGATACCAGCAGGGCCACACATGGTGGACAGGTTTCAGCAGAGCTTCCAGAGTAGGACAGGCTAGGAAGAAAGACCTGGCAGACTACTTCTGAAAATTACCTGATGGAACTTGTTTAGTCTGTAATACTGAATCTGCCCTCCTACTCCCAGCTTTAAAGAGCTTATAGCCTTAATTTAAATATTTAAATAAATCAACCTATTCTTGGGGAGCTTCTGTTTTCTTCAGTTCTGAACGACCGGTCCTACCTCTTTGGATTGTGGACTCCTTTGAGAAGTGGATGAAAGCTATACACCCATCCTTCAGAAAGAATAATGTATGCATATAATTTCAGAGACTTCGTGGCCCCTCTTGAAGTGCATGGACCCTAGGTTAAGAATCCCTGCTCTGAAGCATCTAATTCTGGTTTTTGTGTGGACTTCTTTTTTTCCTACCTTCTTTACTTATTCAGCCCTTCCCTATTTCCTGTGTTGATAGTATCCTGAGAGTTTAAACTGACATGCCCTGCTTTCAGCACATCCATGTGCACAAACATAAATACACACATGTACTTAAAAGGGTGGGTGTTGGCATGGAAGGGTTTGGGGGAAGACTCCCAGGTGATGTAGGGACCATTGCCCAGAGTTTGTGCTGGTTGTGGTGGTGATTAGGTGCGGTCGAGTTGCTTCCAACTTAAAGCAACACTTGTGAACAACAAAATGAAACACTGCCTGGTCTTGCGCCATCCTCATAATCTTTGCTGTGTTTGAGCCCATTGTTACAGCCACAGTCAGTCTGTTTCCTGGAGGGTCTTCCTTTTATTCTCTGACCTTGTGCTTTACTCTGCATGATGTCCTTCTCCAGGGACTGATAACACATCCATAGTATGTTAGATGCAGTCTCGCTGTCCTAACTTCTAATGAACATTCTGGCTATAGTTCTTCTGAGACAGATTTCTTAATTCTTCTGGCAGTCCATGGTATATTCTTTGCCTACAGTGTAATTCAGAGACATCAGTTCTTCTTTAGTCTTCCTTATTCATTACTCAGCTTTCACATGCATATGAGGCTATTGAAAATTCTTTAGTACTCAAAGTAACATCTTTGCTTTTTAACACTTTAAAGAGGTGTTTGGCAGCAGATCTGCCCAATGCAATAGGTCATTTGATTACTTGACTGCTCTTTCCATGGGTGTTGATTGTGGATCCAAGTAAAATGAAATCCCTGACAACTTTAGTCTTTTCTCCATTTGTCATTATGATGCTTATTGGTCCAGTTGTGAGGATTTTGATTTCATTATGTTGAGGTATAATCCATACTGAAGACTGTCATCTTTGATCTTCATCAGTAAGTGCTTCAAGTCTTCCTCACTTTCAGCAAGCCAGGTTGTGTCCTACATATCACAGGTTGTTAATCTTCCATTACTCTTGTCTCGTTCTTCTTCATATAATCCAGCTTCTCTTATTATTTGTTCAGCATACAGATAGAATGAATATTGTGAAAGGATAGAACCCTGACACACACCTTTCCTGATATTAAACCATTCAGTATCCCCATGTTCTGTTTGAACAACAGCCTCTTGGTCTATATCCAGGTTCCTCATGAGCACAGTTAAGTGTTCTGGAATTCCCATTCTTCACAATGTTTTCTATAAATTTTTATGGTCCAAACAGTTGAATGTCTTTGCATAGTCAATAAGACACAGGTAGACAACTTTCCAAAAAAAAAAAAAATCTTTCAGCCAAGATCCATCTGACATCAGCAGTGATATCCCTTATTCTACATCCTTTTCTGAATTTGCCTTGAATTTCTTGTAGTTCCCTGTCAATGTCCTGCTGTAACCGTTAATGAATTATCTTCAGCAAAATTTTACTTCTGTTTGATATTAATGATATTTTTCAATAATTTCTTAATTCTATTGTATCACCTTTCTTTGGAATGGGCACAAATACGGATCTCTTCCAGTTGGTTGACCCAGGTGGCTATCTTCCAGATTTCTTAGCATATACTACTAAGCAGTTCCAATGCTATATCCATTTGTTGAAACATCACAGTGAGTATATTTTATCAGTTCCTACAAAGTTTTTGCCAATTCTCTCAGTGTAACTTGGACTTCTTCCTTCAGTACAATTGGTTCCTGATCATATGCTACCTCCTGACATGGTTGAATGTCATCCAGTTCTTTTTGGTACAGTGATTGTATATTCCTTCCATCTTCTTTTGCTGCTTCCTGCATCATTCAGTTTTTTTGCCTACAGAATCTGTCAGTATTGCAGCTCGAGGCCTGAAATGTTTCTTCAGTTCTTTCAGACTGAGAACACCTAAGCGTATTCTTCCCTTTTGGTTTACCAACTCTAGTTCTTTGCACATTTTATTGTAATTCTTTACTTTGTCTTCCTGAGCCATTCTTTGAATTATTCTGTTCAGCTCTTTTACTTCATTATGTTTTCCATTTGCTTTAGCTACTCTACATTTGAAAGTAAGTTTCAGAGTCTCTTCTGACATTCATTTTGTTTTTCCTTTCTTTGCTATTTTAATGACCTTTTGCTGTCTTCATATATGATGTCCTGCATGTCATTTCATAACTCATCTGGTTTCATTCATTACTGTTTAGTACGTCAAATCTGTTCTTCAGGTGGTCTCCAAATTCAGGTGAGATATACTCGAGGTTATACTTTGACTCATGTGGCTTTGTTTTACTTATCTTCAGCTTCAGCTTGAACTTGCATGTAAGCAAATGGTGGCCTTTTTCATCGTCATTGCTTGGCCTTGTTCTGTATGATGATACTGAGCTTCTCTATAGTCTCTTTCCATATACGTAGTCGATCTGATTGTTGTATATTCCATCTGGGGAAGTCCACATGTATAGTTTATGTTGTTGAAAAAAGGTATTTGCAATGGTTAAGTCATTAATCTTGCAAAATTCTAAGTGATTTCATTTCTATCACAAGACATGTTTCCCAACTACCAATTCTTTGTTTCTAACTTTCACATTTCAATCACCAGTACTTATAAATGAATCTTGATTGCATGTTTGGTCAATTTCACACTGCAAAGTTTATAAAAATCTTTAAGTTCTTCATCTTTGGCATAAGTGGTTGTTGTGAAAATTTGATTGTTGTAACTGGTCTTCCTTGTAGATGTTTGAATATTATCTTGTCAATTACAGGTTATATTTCAAGGTAGACCTTGAAATGATCTTTGAAACCATGACTACACCACCATTTTTCTTCAATTTGTCATTCCCAATATAGTAGACCATGCTGTTGTTGTTACTTGCCATCGAGTCGGACCTGATTCATAGCAACCCCTCCTTGGGTTTCCGAGGCAGTATCACCACAGAAGTAGATTGCCCAACCTTCCTTCTGAGGAGTGGCTGGTGGGTTTGAACCACCAGCCTTCTGCTTAGCAGTCAAGTACCTTAGCCGCTAAGCTACCAGAACTCCCATAGTAGACCATATGATTGTCCAATTCATATTTGCCAGTACCAGTCCATTTCAGCTCAGTAATGCTCAGAATATCATACTTTTCACATCTGGATTATTAATGTCTGTTTGCAGCTCGCTCTTCTCGTTTTGAGTCTTAGCACAGCAACAAATGAAGGTCCTGAAAGCTTTATTCCATCTGCATCATTAAGTTTGACTCAACTTTGAGAGGCAGTTCTTCCCTAGTTGTGTTTTGAGTGCCTTCCAACCTGAGGGGCTCAGCTTCTGACACTGTATCAGACAGTGTTCCACTGCTACTCCTGTTTCCAGGGACCAGATTTTTCAGAAGGGCATTGCCAGATCCTGTTTCCTAGTATGTCTTACTCTAGAAGGTCCACTGAAACCTGTCCACTATGGGTGACCCTACTAGTATTTGAAATAGTGATGACATAGCTTTCAGCATCACAGGAACATGCAAGCCATTGCAGTATGGCAGACACACTGGCAGACAACAGGTAGTTGCAGTGGCAGCTTTCCATATATATATTTGTTCTCGTGCAATAGGTATTGAGCAGAACAGAATACAGTGCCCATGTATAAGCATTAAAGAGTCTGATTCCTTTCTTTGCATAAGTGACTGGGGTCATTACCATTCAGCAAACAAGAATCCTGACTACAAAAAAGACACCAACTTTGTCCTGCATTGAAGTAGGAAATTTAGTGAGGTGTGAGGGTACTTTTATTACTGCCTCTTTCATTTGCCTTTTTTTTCTGGAGTGGGGGAGCAGGGGAGAGGAGGAGAGGGCTTAGAAATGCAGAAACCCACAGATGACCATTTGAAGATTGATATTTGAATAGAAATATTCTAGAAACTGGTTTTTGTTCTGATAGTACTAGTTCATTCTTTTGATTTTTATTTATTAGATGTGTAAGCATTTGTTATCATGAAAATCTATTCAGACACTAAGTCAAACAACATAAAATGTTTGATAGATGTTTAAAGTATGGTGCAATAAGGAATTAAGTTCTTTCCCCAAAAATATTTATTTTTCAAGTGTCAGTGTCTGTCTTCCTAGATAAACATTTGAAAGTATTTTCTATATGCATAATATTTTAGGAATCTTTATAAATTTAGAATAATAACAGTACATTTTACTGTATTACATTAATATTACCAGTGAAATTAGATCATTCTTGAGATGAGATCTTAGAGATAAATATATTGAATATATTGTCCTCCAAAACAAGAGATTGTAGCTCAGGAGATCTTTAGTTCCTGTATTGCCTTGGGGTGCAAACTGATTAATAATATATTAATCAGATATCCTGTTCATATTATGTAAGAGGATTTATATGGTATTTTTATAATGACATTTTGATAAAGTTGCAGATATTATATTGAGAGACTTACTTTCTTCTCTTTCAGGATCGAAGTAGAATGTATGACAGTTTGAATATGCACTCTTTGGAAAATTCCCTTATTGATATCATGAGAGCAGAGCATGATCCGCTGAAAGGTAGGTGACTTTTAAAGCAAAACAAAACAGAAAACTTTGTTATACACCAATTTGTCTGCTTATTGTAGCCGTTTTTATATGAAAATGAGCCCCCCATAGCCCCGAGACATCTATCAGTAGCCCTGGTGGCACAGACTGAAAGGTTGACAGTGTGAGTCCATCCAGCAGCTCCACAGGGGAAAGAGCTGACCGTCTGCTTCCATGGAGATCACTGCCAAGAAAACTCGGGGTGGGGGCCAGGGCAGTTCTGTTCGGTCACGTCGGGTCACTGCCAGTCAGAACAGACTCAGTGGCACCTGATAGCAACATGGTATCTGTAGTCTGTCATAAATTTGTTAATAAGATACTTTGTTTTTGTGAAATGTTGTACATTTTTCATTGTAGTTTAGATTTATGCCAGTTTATACAGAGAAAACTGTACACCCAGCTCTCTTAACTGTTTGCTTATAATTTGAGAAAAAGCTACTCTTTAAAGGTCATGCTTTATATTTCGCCAAAAGGTGAAGTATAGCTCTAAAAGAGAAGATTGTACTTACTTTCTAGAACTCTATCAATTATAAAAATATTTTTAAAAATTATTGGAATGCTTAACATTCATAACTGGCAGTGATTCAAACCTAGGATTATCCTAGGTTAACCTCCTTTCCTATTTGTCCTCCAGTAATGTAGATTTTTGAAACAGATTACGTTTTAGTAGCTTCTCTGGGGTGGAGAACAGTTCTTCATAAAAATTGGGTCAATGAAGAAAAGAAAAGTTACCCAACTCATCTTATAAAAGCTGCCTTCCCTGTTGTTAGTGGAGCCTGAAAATCATGCATTCACATACTAGCTTTCCCTTGTCTGTGTGTGTTCTGTGATAAAATGAAAAAAAATAATAAATTTCCAATTTTGTATTCTCACAATATATCTCATTGCTTTTTATATCAACTGAAAATCTCTAGTAAACTGTGTGAATTTGAGTGATGAGAGAGCATATTAGTTATCTATTGCCGCAAAACCAATTACTGCAAAACTTAGCAGCTTGCTACAAAAATAGTCTTCTTTTTATCTCACATGGTTTCTGTGGGCAGGAACTGGGGAGCAGACTAAGTAGTTCATTCATGCTCAGGAGTTCTCACTGAGTCAAAACCATGGACTGCCTTCCAGACTTTAGCCTTCAGAACTGTACAACCTCAGTGTTGGCAGTAAGGTGGTGGCAAGGGGCTAAACTGATATAAACTGGTCAGATATCAAATCAGTTATGTTCTTTGTCTGCATTTTGCTTGTAAGGGAATTTCTAGTCTCCGATTCTTTGATTTTAAGGCATTTGGGACACTCCAGGGAACATGGACAATGTGTGCCAGTGGTAATCCTCGATGTGTGCCAGTGGTAATCCTCGTCACAAACTAATAAAGTTAAACTCCCCTAGATGCCCCACCCTATTTTTTTATTTTTCACTTCTAACTATAATCCAGCCGAGTGTGTTGAGTGTCTGTCTCTCGAGATCTTGTTCTTTCCCACTGTTGAAGAACAGAAGCCAGCAGCTTATGATTAAGAGGAATTTTCCCCTTTTGTCTCTGGTATCACTAGAAAAAAACTCTGAGAAATTGTGATACACAATAAAGTCACTATTATTAACTGTCATCCATGAACAATGAAAACTTTATCTTATTGTTTCTCTGGCCTTTTGAAGGTGTAAGAGAAAATATTCTGCACTGTGCTGCTAAGTACCTCAGTTACTGTTCTTCCTAGCCCGTGTTATAATAAAAGTAGAGAGGAACTTAGAAAGAGGACTGTGAAGAGATAGAGGCAACATAAATCGAAGTGGAATTTAATAATAGAACAAAACAAATCTCAAGTGCTTTGAGAACTCATTTGTTAGGAAAGTGATTTTTGGCTTTGCGGAGGATATGTGCTCCTCTCCCACTTGAGGAGTCATCATGGTGACCAAGTCCCTTTTCAGGTTAGAGTGTTTTATGTTCCACATGTATTATGGAAGGGAATAAAGAGGAAAACATGAAGAACCTTTGTCTACCTTTATAGTATAAAGTACAGTATGGTCTACCTTTATAGTATAAAGAAATATGGCTAGTACTTTTGCAAATTGCCAATATCTGTGTATATAAAATTGCAAAAAGGGCATGGGGACAGCTTCCTCCAACCTCCTCTAACTTTATAAGGTGGGAGGAGGATCAAGAACATCAACAGCCCCAGGCTGGTTCCTGTGGGGCAGAGGCCAGATGTGCCTCCACCTTTTCACTCTTCTTATCAAGTCTGACACCAGCCATCCCTCCCAGAGCACTCTTAACTTCACTGCTGGGTTTGACAGTTTGTTGCAATGGTCACACGGAACTCACAGACAATACTCAATGAGTGTGGAGTTTATTAGGGAAATAACAGGTTATCATTCAGATTCAGGAATGCTCTGGATACAATTCTTCCATCAGGACAGCCTCTCCTCTAGAGACAGGCTTCTCTATGGCCCTTGGCCACTGACCTACTTGGGCAAGTGTTACAAAGCTCTTTTAACTTTGCTGATCCTTGCACCCAACTCCATCAGTAAGCCTTCTGCCCAAAGGCACTCAGCGTTTTTACTCTGGGGGCCGGGAAGCCCACTGCTCTGTCTTGTACCAGTTTCTTGGTTCTGCTGCCACCATCTTTCTGCCAGGAAAGTCCAAGACAGGGATCTTGGGTCCAAGGACACACTCCACTCTTGCTTCTTCCCTTTTGATGGCAGGGAGAACCCCCCTTTTCTGCCTCAGGGATGGCTCATTTTAAGCGAGATGGCGAAACTGACCAGTCCCCACATTAGAGTTCCATCCACCTTATTTGCACAGGTCCCACCCCTGCAAGGGTGTTATGTACCTTAATTTACATTATTAACAAGCTATCCAGTCCCTTGGGTGGGCTGCAGGTTCCTCACATTTACATAGTTCCACACAGTCGTTTGGTGGGAATCACAAAGCCTGTGGCTGGAAGAGCCATACCAAGTAATTCCCTGCACTGCAAAAGTTATCTTGATATCCACCTGCTGCCACTTAAAACTTTTCCTCCTTTTCTTAAAAACTCCACTGACTTCTGAGATAGCAAACTGTATATCTTCTTCCTCTCTCTACTGTGATCTTTAAAACTTTTCTTTGGTCTGGGCTCCAGTAAAATTTGCTAAAGCAAGCTTGTGGCAAATGAAGAAACCAGCTGGGGTTAACCTATGAACTCGTTTATTCCTTTCATTCCTGATCTTCAGGGTACACTTCAGCCTCTTTTTCATTTTTTCTTTCTCATCGTCTAATCCCTTTAAGCCACCATCTGTTAGTTTTCATACTATGGTGGCTTATGTGTGGGTATGGTACTGAAAGCCGTGCCATCAGTATTTCATATACCAGTAGGATCATCGATGGTGGACAGGTTTCATCAGAGCTTCCAGACTAAGACAGACTAGGAAGAATTAGGCCACCTGATCTACTTCCAAAAATTGTTGTTGTTAGGGGCCTTTGAGTCAGTTCCAACTCATAGCAATCCCATGTACCATGGAACAAAACACTTCCTGGTCCAGTGCTGTCCTCACAGTCATTGCCATGCTTGAGCCCATTGTTGCAGCCACTGTGTTAGTCCATCTCCTTAAGGGTCTTCCCCTTTCCACTGACCCTCTACTTTACCAAGCATGATGTCCTTCTCCAGGGACTGGTCCCTTCTGACCACATGAGCAAAGTACAAGAGACAAAGTCTGGCCATCTTGCTTCTAAGGAGCATTCTGGCTGTACTTCCTCCAAGACAGATTTGTTCATTCTTCTAGCAGTCCATGGTATGTTTGATAGTAATTCAAAAATTTGCCATTGAAAACTTTGTGAATTAGAACAGAACATTGACTTGCTTGCTTTGGACATATCGTGAGGTATTCATTGTTAGAGAACATCATGCTTGACAAAGAGGAGGGCTGGTGAGAGTGAAGGAAACCCTCAGTGACATTGAATAGACGGTAGCCACAGTGATGGACTTAAATGTGCTGGTGATGAGGAAAATGGCACTGGACTGGCAACATTTTGTTCTGTTGTCCATGAGGCTGCTGTGAGTTAGAGTTGACTAGATGGCAGTAACAACAACAATCCCTTTAAGAAACCCTGACTCTTATTAATACAAGAAATTCTTTTTTCTTTTTCTGAAAACTAGATAAATCTTATGAAATCCTTTTAAATCATTAAAAACAAAAGCCATTGGAGTCTGCGTGGTCTCCTAATGATCTGACATCCACCAGAGTGAGTGATAGAGCTGCAGGCAAATTTCCTAGCCAAGGTCTCAGATCAACATTTCCACAATGTTCTGGCATATCTGTAAGTCAGCCTTGCTCAACTTGGGAGGGGTCTGCTACCCAAGTGACATGAATACTAGGAAGCAAGGATCAGTAGAGGCCATGGAGATTACCTGCCACAGACATGGAAAAAGAAAAGCTGTAAATTTGCGTTTGATTCTGTTTCAGTTCAGAGGAAAAACTAGTTGGTCGGGCTACCTAGTGCTGCTCTGACAGGAACGTACCGCAAATGGGATAGCCTTAACAAACGGGAGTTTATTCTTACCACTTGGAGGCTTTAAGTTCAAGTTCAAAGTGCCAGGCTCTAGGGGCTGGGTGAAAGCCCCTCAACCTTGGGCTTCAGCTCTGCCTCCTGCTCCCGGCCCACTGGAGCTAGAGGCATTTCTTCACTCAGACAGCTGCTGGCTGCTGAGGCTGAGAAGCCCCAAGGTTGACAAGTAAAAAGGCACAGTCCTGATGTTACCAAACCACATGGCAGGCCATTAACTTAAGTCCATTGTAAGTCTCAAGGCCGGCAGACCATAGCAGGCTGCTGAGCAACGACACGGCTACATGCAGGGTCCAAACGTGCCATAGGCTAGAGACCATTCCCAAGGCTTCTCCTCACATACAGGAAGCAGACCATATCCCAAAGTTAGCTACTCAGCTGCTTGTGGTAGATCCCATCATGGAGTTGATTGCCAGTCTCCTCATGAGGAATAACTAACTACCACCA